CTGCATGTGCATTGTCAGCAGCCGTTGACAGTAACTGTTTACCTCCAGGCAACAGCACCGCTGCATTAAATAAGTTCAAATTACCCTAATGGGAAACTGTTCGTTCTAGGGAAGAGGCTGCCGTCTGACTGACCGACAAACGACAAACGCGCTGCACCGATGACCTGCTCAACCTGGCATGAATACGTTTCCTGGTTTGTTCAACATAAGTCATTTCTGAGAAAGAGAAAACTCTCCTGTGTCACTTGATCTTTTCTGCTCAGCTGGGTCACTGGCAGTAAGTGTGGAGTATTGACCTGTCTGAAAGGACAGACAGACAGACAGCAAACATCAAAATAAACACACACCACCCAGCTACGGGGCTGACAGGAAGCAGGAGAGGGGCAATTATTTATTTTGTGTGAATGAAATTTATTTGGTTTTATGTCTGGTCACTGTGTCCTTTCAAGGTTATCTCTATAAATGTCCCCCTGAGACTGACTGTGTTTGAAGCACAGGCAGTGGGACGACAGTTGTGAAGAGGGAACATTCAGTCCGTCATGCTCCTTAACCAAATTTAATTTCAGTTTAAAATAAAATAAACTTGACAGCAGGAACCAGTCTATGACCAGGATAGAAACGTGAAAACAGGTCAAGAGGTCCAGTGCCAGAACAAAGACTAATACACAAAGGACCCAGTATAATACCAATATTATTATTATTAAATTATTTAATAAATAACTCATATAATTATTATATAAATCTTAATGCACTAAAGCAACATTATTTTAAATGAAAAGAAATATTTATAAAATATAAATATTCAAAGAATATTTAAAAAAATACCAAAGGCATAAATAAGTAATAATTAACTGGTCACTGTGGACTGGATTCCAAAATTGTGAGGATCAAAGAGAAAATATTAAATCAAGTAAAAAAAAAAGTCCAACAACAACAACACATCTGGGACAAGTGGCTCAAAATGTTTTAAAATAATCTGACGGTTATATCTGGGAACATGACGCACGCATGTGGAGATCATGTTAATGAGGACATACGGCCTCAGCTTCCAAATATAAACCAGAACATGAGACGTAGGACACCACCCAAACACACACACACACACACACACACACACACACACGCACATGTGATGAGGTTACCTGACTAGATTGACATGAAACAATATTTCTGCACTTGTGCACTTCCTTCACGATCCACGACATTAGCAGCACTGCAGGGGGAGGACGGGGGAGTTAGTACACACAGTACATGCTGTGTGTGTGTGTGTGTGTGTGTGTGTGCATAAACACTAACACAAGGTGGGGAAAAGCAAGTGTAAATCTACACTTTTAACACATTTGTGTCACATGATCACTTTTTGTCAGTTTGCCAGGACTGAAATTTTAGCCTAAGATCTGCAAAAAACACACTCTGACCTTTTCACTGTTATTCTGACTGTGTTCTGTTATTTCCATGGTTACAGTATGAGTCACTGTGGTGCAGAAAAAAAAAAATCAGATTCAATCAGTTCTGGAGACAGAATTTCTTTCAGTTTAAAACATTTGTTTTGACTGTAATTTGGATATAAAGAAGTTTAAGATGTTTAGGATGATTCATTGTCTGACACTTTATTAATCTGCTGAGGGAAATTTAGTCCAAATCAAATATTGATTAAAACAGCTATCCAGTCAGCAACAGTCAGTGCTGCCACATTGCTCAACCATCTATTTTTTTTCAAAATTAAATCGCTTAAAATACAGACTGTAGTAATATAGTATAACAGTGATTCTTAACCAAAGGGGCGTGGCCCAAACTTGGGCTGCCACCTAGAAGGCCACAAAAAACGTTCAGTCTTGCATGTTATATACTGTATGTCATCAGGTGAAGACACCAGAGTCCTCCATGAGTGGTCCAGTTACAATGCAGAAGAGATGAACACATTTATAATCCTGACTTTGTTAAACTGGAGGTAGATTTGGTTTGTTATTGGAGACAAATCCAACCATGAGTGAGGTCAATAAACCTAGACAGTGTTCATATTTGATGGGCCGCTTTGTACTATATAAATTGGGCATCGAGGTCTAGAAGGTTAAGAACCCAATCAATGGACAATCGTGGAAGTGAAGTAGACAAGTCCTTTACAGAGTTTACACAGTTGTACAAACCTTCATACAAGCGTCTCTGAAGTCCACCCTAACTCTGACTCCAGGGCTGAGCTCTTTGGTTAGATTATATAAGGTTACGCCATCTGAACAGACCCACTCACTGTTACATGTTTGCTCGGCTGAGAGGAAGGATGGTGGCAGTTGTAATAGAGTCCAATAAGTTGTGTCACACTCATTGATTTTGTCTGTTCTAAGTGCAGTCCTCTATACACACACACACACACACACACACACACACACACACACACAGCCCTTGTCCCACAGTGTACAAAAACAACAAACACAGAAACAATAAAATTCATAGACATGTCGGTCGGTAATCGAAAAGTTCATTAACTGTAGATAAAAATGATTAAAAAAAACATTCTCCGACCTAGAACTATTCTGTTTTGGTTTATTTTATTTTAAACTATAAACTATACTTTTATATTTTGTATATTTTTGACCTCAGAGGAGATTTGAAGATGATGATGTAGAAGAAGCAGATGGTTGTTTGGTGTGGATGTGTACCTGCTGGCAGCCATGTTTACGTTTTAACAACATTACATCATATACAAGTGTGTGTGTGTGTGAATCACGTCATTTCAAAGGTGAAAAGCGTACGTTGTGAAATTGTGCACTTCTACAATAGTCTTCATCAAATGTGCATTTCTGTCACTGCGTTGCCTTCTGATGCGCAGCGTAGAAGTCAGTGAAGACGTTGGCACGCAGTCGTGACCTCTTCATCATGGCACCTGATCCATCAGGCCGTTCAGTCAGGGTCTGTTTTTAGACTGATATGGCGTGTTTACCGAGTACACAACTGGCATTCATATGTCGGCGTGTGCTGCGGAACATTCCAGCTCATCTATTCACAGAATACATGTTATACTGAGAACCTTAGCCCTACCTGGAAAAACACCGGGCAAAATGTGGGTGGGCTGGTTCTTAAGGTTCTCCCTACATCTGTCTGTCTGTCTGTCTGTCGTCTGTCTGTCCTCTGTCTGTCCGTCCGTCCATCATCATCTATCTATCTATCTATCTATCTTTCCATCCATCCATCCATCCATCCATCATCCAACCATCCATCCATCCATCCATTCATCCATCCATCCATCCATCCATCAATCCATTCATCCATCCATTCATCCATCCATCCATCCATCCATCTAAGATTTTGTTCTTATGTGTGACCTACATGTATCAACAAGCCTTTGTTGCAGTGATTTTAATTAAAATGGTCCATGTTAATGTGGATTATTACGATCTTCCAAATTAATCTTAAAAAGTGTTTTGTTTTTTCTTCTTTCTTGTCTCTCCAGTCTCTTCAGGTCACTGGTATATTATCCTCTCTCTGAATCCTTTCTGTTAAACCATCAGCGTCTCAGTGTCTGGAATTCTGTAGGTGGCAGTATCAGTATTTTAAAAATATTTACATCTGGCTTGTTCTTTCCTGGTGAGCTTCTGTTTATTGAGGTCAGGCCTTTTAAGGATCCTCACCCTAAAAGTCCTTTTGTTATTGTGATCCTATACGTCCGAGGTCATTGTCCTGCTTCCCCGTGGATCTGAAATCCCAGAATTCCAATGTATACATTTGGATTTATCTCTGGTCACGGCACTTCAACTTTTCTTTGTGATTATATTCTAATTAACCACAACACACACACACACACACACACACACACACACATATCCTCCATTAATTTATTTATGTAAATGTCAATGCTGGTGAGTTTAAAATGTACTAAGGAAGTAGCAGTTTGCACACCACACTTTGGGATTCCCAATTTTCATAAATCTATCAAAGAGAGTACCAAATACTAAAAGTACTGATTTTGATTTAGTTAAAAAATATTTAATTTACTGTTTTTCACATCAGGATAGAATCTATTATTGATCACGTTCAACGTTCATGGTTCGACTTCTCAGTACAGATGGGTTACTTACTGCCTTTTTTTTTCATCCTTTGGCTGGGTTTGCGACTTATACTCAGGTGTGATTTATATATTTAAAATATATAATTTAATTTACATGTTCGTTATTTTCATACTGACAGCCGCTAGAGGGCACTGGTGCGACTTACTCCGGAGTGACTTACAGTATGTTTTGTCTTCTACATTATACATTTCTTGGGCACCAACTCTTTACTCTCGACACCAGGATTGCACTAAATCAAGCAGTCGAGAAAAAAGTTGAAAATGGGAACATTAACCCTGTTGTAGTAACTACGTGAGCTAAATAACCTTTTTAATGTGCAGACCACAAACGATCGATTACCTTTGATACCGTGGAAGTGGTTTAATCTGTGCGGAGCAATGACCACGGGGGCAGCTCAGAGTGACTGCACAGGCCTCACAGGTGCAGCAGCCGCAGTAATCAGTCAAATCACTGAGACTTTTATCAATGGCCTCCGTTTGTCACACGGGAATGTACGAAGGTTTTCATCTGCTCCCTGTACAACGCCACGGAAATATTCATTTAAAACAATGGTCTGCTGGGTTGTTGGTTTAAAACTTGATTGGAGGATGATAATATACAGATATTTTGTAATTAATAAAATTGTAGGGCTATCTAGGGCTTTCTATCTTATTTTTTAATTGATTTGGTTATTTGGTTTTATGTTGTTCCCAGAGAGGATGTGGTAGAAGTGAGAGGAAATAACAGCTTAGACAACCATCAGATGGCCGTCATTTCCTCTAACTGCGCCGTTCTATTCAAGATTCAAGATTTACGCTCCCTCTATTAATTTACAATCTGCATTTTTACAAAAAATAAAAAAAGGAATGGAAAATGCGACAGAATTGTGAACAATAGGAATAGCAAGATAAGAGTTGAGAGTTGATTTATGTATTTTAAAAATAATTAAATACAACATAAAAATCAAATGGAATTTAATTGTTTTAAAAGGATAATAAAAAATAGGTGGACTGCAGCTACATTGGTCTGACACAGAACTATGATCAAAACATTATTGCAGGATAGTGGCCTGATGGTCAATCTGATGGACTGTTTATAACAATGTTGATTGGCAGTTTAGAGAAGACAAACATCTTCAGACAACCATCTGCAGGTGGCGCTCTGAGTAGGAATATAGTAGCAACATATTTGTTTAATTTTAACTCCTTTATTCAAGGACCCATAACTCACACTACTGTGTTATGGTCCTTAAAGTTGGGGCTGCCAGGGGGCGCTAGCGGGCCTAAAAATTGGAGCGAGGATACGAAAAAGATGCTAATAATAAAAATGATCTAATTATTTTCATTTTATATTTTATACGTAACCTTTTGTCCTGAACAGTACAACACATAAACTCCTCAAGTTTCCTGATACCTGATACGATACGCACCTCGTGCGACAGCTGCATCTTTGGCATGATGACGTCATAATCAGAAAAACCTGCTAGCGTGCAGCTATGATGACGTCATAATCAGAAAAACCTGCCTGCTTCTCAAGCTAGCGTGCAGCTGGCTGCTGCATGTTTGCTTACACTTAATAATCAAAATATATTCTTGACAAGAAATAGATGTTTATGCTAAACAAAAGTATTAGCATAAACTGTTGACTGGTGAACAAAAGTGTATTATTACTATTACAGCGCTGTAGTTTCCACAACCCCAGACTCTTTAGGAAAATAACAGTGAACTGCCTGATCCACAGGTTGAGAAACATGCCAGCATCAATAAACAAATGTACACACTGCTGTTGGCATGTGATAGTGTGTGTGTGTGTGTGTCGTCTGGCAACAGTAAAGCTGACATTTAATTGAATTAATCATCAATCAAAACCGCAGCCTCCTAACAGCGACTCTGCTGCTTTGATTCTAATTGTTACTGCTCGTTATGTAATCGTTCCACATCTGTGATCAGAGCACGTGTTTTCCAGACCAGAAAAACATTAACCATTGACAAAACAGGATGAATTCCTGTTAACATGTCCCTCACAGACCAGGTTACATCACATGCAGTAGCCTCATGGAAAGTTCTGTGACTTTTCCCGTTTGGTCTGGCTGCCATGTGCCTCTATATTGTCTCTATAGTTCCAAACGGACAGGTTTCAACAGGCTCTGCACATATGGAGTTTTAATGGTTTTTCTCACTTTTCCTGGCAGATCATCTCAGTCTGTCACACAGCATGGAAATGTCTCCAGGTCTCTCCCACTGCACGATGTTTGGCTATGGCTCAAGTGCAGTCCCAGTGTTTTGCCTGGGGCTGTTATTGTGCAGTCACTGAGTTCATCCACTGATGTCATATTAATGTACCACGTACAGTTTGGACCGAGATCATAGGGCATTTAAAGGAAATAGTGCAGCACAACAGCAACAACGAGGACGGTAAAAAAAATAATAGTAGCGCTACTGATATTTTAGTATGACTAGAAGGCTGATATAAATTACCCAGACAGTTAATAAAAATGTCAGATCATAAGAGTTTGTACCCAGCCATTATTTACCCCACAGTGGTTGCAGGGTTAAAAGGTCTCTGTAATGATTGACCTCACTCATTAAAGTGGATCTTTTTGATCATCCAAATATACAGTAGGCATTGTTTCAGAGAAGGATGTCAATGGTCAGTGAGTCCAGACATCACGGAAGCCAAGCTCACAGACGCCCAGTCGTCATCAGACCAGCCTGATGAGGGCAGTAAATACTCTGTAAAGACCGTCACAACTATCAACTGGATCTCAATGGACCCAGGGCTGATTTATATTGTTGCAGACAAAGACTTCCTTCTGCAAGATCTACTGAAATGACTAAACTTGGAAAAGTTATACACGTGCATGAATTGTTTTTTTTTTTTTTACATTTTAACACTTTTATAATTCATCATTTGTATCGGTCCCTGTTGTAGCAATATTACAAAGAGAAGTGTAGAAGTCAGGATTTGTAAAAAACGACCAAGGGGTTAATCACAATTAGTCGTGATTAACCGAGGTCATTAATAATCCACAGCCACCAAAACAGATTCTTATTGACAATGTTGTCAATAAAACCGACATAAATGTTGAAAAGATTCTCTCGTCTTTTACACGTCAGACAGTTGTGACCAACTCTCTCCGCTGTAGGAACCTTACGGCCAACTCACTTTTCCTGGCAGATCATCTCAGTCTGTCACACAGCATGGAAATGTCTCCAGGTCTCTCCCACTGCACGATGTTTGGCTATGGCTCAAGTGCAGTCCCAGTGTTTTGCCTGGGGCTGTTATTGTGCAGTCACTGAGTTCATCCACTGATGTCATATTAATGTACCACGTACAGTTTGGACCGAGATCATAGGGCATTTAAAGGAAATAGTGCAGCACAACAGCAACAACGAGGACGGTAAAAAAAATAATAGTAGCGCTACTGATATTTTAGTATGACTAGAAGGCTGATATAAATTACCCAGACAGTTAATAAAAATGTCAGATCATAAGAGTTTGTACCCAGCCATTATTTACCCCACAGTGGTTGCAGGGTTAAAAGGTCTCTGTAATGATTGACCTCACTCATTAAAGTGGATCTTTTTGATCATCCAAATATACAGTAGGCATTGTTTCAGAGAAGGATGTCAATGGTCAGTGAGTCCAGACATCACGGAAGCCAAGCTCACAGACGCCCAGTCGTCATCAGACCAGCCTGATGAGGGCAGTAAATACTCTGTAAAGACCGTCACAACTATCAACTGGATCTCAATGGACCCAGGGCTGATTTATATTGTTGCAGACAAAGACTTCCTTCTGCAAGATCTACTGAAATGACTAAACTTGGAAAAGTTATACACGTGCATGAATTGTTTTTTTTTACATTTTAACACTTTTATAATTCATCATTTGTATCGGTCCCTGTTGTAGCAATATTACAAAGAAAAGTGTAGAAGTCAGGATTTTAAAAAAACGACCAAGGGGTTAATCACAATTAGTCGTGATTAACCGAGGTCATTAATAATCCACAGCCACCAAAACAGATTCTTATTGACAATGTTGTCAATAAAACCGACATGAAAAGATTGAAAAGATTCTCTCGTCTTTTACACGTCAGACAGTTGTGACCAACTCTCTCCGCTGTAGGAACCTTACGGCCAACTCGTCCTGTATCCCAGAGGAGGGAGTCGGTGTCTGTCGGTGTCTGTCAGGGTCTGTCGGTGTCTGGTCTGTGCCGCGGCTGAGGGAGGAGAGGACAGGAGGGTGGGGGCAGTGACTGTACGCAGCCTCTGACGTCAGCGCCGCACTCTGAAGATAAGGCTTTATATGAACTACAATGTTCTTTTTATAATCAAGAGCGTTGGCGCTCAGGCGGTGGCGGCGCTGATCACCTGAGGACACACCCGGCCTCGTCTCCCTTCCTGCCTCCCTCCCTCCCTCCTTCCGTCTGGTGCCGCAGTCCACGGAGAGCGGTGTTATTGCCGAGCGGCCCCGCGCGCAATGACGGTCCGGGGGAGTCCGAAATAATTCATCCGCAGAACCACTTGAGGGGGACAAACATGGGAATGGCGAGTGAGGAGCTGCTGGTGACACTGCAGATACTTCCCGGTTTCTTTTCAAACTGTCTCTTCCTCGTCCTCTACGACTCCGTGGTGCTGGTGAAGCGCGTCGTGGCGCTGCTGAGCAGCTCCAGGTCCGGCGGTTCGCGTGAGTGGCGCCGCATGTTGACCTCGGCGGGTCTGCGCTCCATCTGGAACAGCTTCCTGCTGGACGCCTACAAACAGGTAGACCGCTGCTGCCCTGCACCTGCTGCCCACAGGGACTTTCACTCTTAAACCCACACACACACTACACACACACACACTACACACACACCCGCTGATGTGTCAATTTGAACAAAGTGACTGTATCAGATCAGTGAGTCACCAGAGTGAAACTTTCTTGGCACAACTTGACTGTAACTCCTGATTTAACTGAGCTGTGTGTGTGTGTGTGAGGTTTTTTTTTGTTTTATTTCCACATACATATTCCTTGTCTTTTGGCAGTTTTCCTTTTAAGTCAACATTTAAATGTTGTAGTTCACGTCATTAAATAAAGGCTTGGAACAAAACACACACATTCCAAGACGTAGTAGAAGGAACAGCAAACCCACGGTCTGACAGACCCACGTCACTGCGGCCTATCTGTCCTGTAGCAGCTGCACTACTTAAATTGTGCAGCTTTTGATAACCAATCAGTTAATGGTCATATTGTTGTTCGGTCACAGGCTCGCCGTGGTAGGCGTTTGTGTTGGACCCCCGACTGTTCAGTATCATCCACAAAGATGAACTTTATTAGTCGGTTCCAAAGTGTTGCAGTTAGCACGACTACCTTGGAAGCAGAGAGCAGAGAGTCCTGGGTTCGATTCCCCGAGGAACCACATGCCTGGTGCTTTCTAGGAGCAGCCTGTCAACAGCAGCTCTGCTGCTAACACG